GCCGGTAGTTACATTATAAGTTATCTACGTTCATATCCGTAGATATGGATATTTTAACACCCTTCAGTATCCTGTACACCCTTCGGCGCAGCCGAAGGGTGGCGATTTTTAGAGAAATTCGACCACAAAGTTAAACGTGAAAGCAACGTTTTTTTCATTTTTTAAATATCTTTTGTTGAAATTTGGGAATTTGACATATTTTTAACGGGGTGTAGGATACTACCTTTGGTAGAACCCTACAGGTAGACAAATATAAGACGTTTTTAAACTAGAGACAGAGAAACTGAAATGGGTCGAATTTGGCGCGCAATGTTGTGAGAGTTACATCATAAACGGCGTGACGTCAACGTGGGTCATTTGCATAGCTAGGTCAGTAGTACCATTCATTCAGTTGGAAAGCAAGTCCTTGGAAACGTCCGTTGTCGTCAAGCTCTATCAGCAACAATAGCAGGGGGAATTAATTAGATGGCGCTACAGTCGTCCGTGACGTCAAAAAGTCCGCCAAATCAATCGGCTAAAAGATTGACGTTTAAAGTATTTATTTTTACTTGTCATGCTTTTATTATAATTGAATTTTAAAATTTGTAGGTTTTGCGACCAATATAGATTAAATAAGTCATTCAAACATTATCAAAAATAGCTTGTTATTGCTATTTCTTTATCCTGTTCGTTGTAAAAAATTTCAGCCATCTTTTTTGTTCGCCAAAAACATCGATTTTTCATAACTTGACGTTTGCGTATCCAAATACGGAAGAGAACGGTAATAATCTTAAATGAAACCGGGTAAACTATTTCAAATTTCTACACAATTTTGAAGCCATCATTTTTTACTATTATACATCAATTTTGGTGACCACCAGTCATGTCAATTTGTACCTGGTTCTGGCTGCGTTTCTACTTCAAAACAGTAAAGTTCAACTTCTTTTCATTGTACCTGTTTCCAAAGTACTCTAAAATACTGATTTTATGAAAGATATGAATGAAATTGTGTTTAAAAATTGTTGTTTTTCACAATTCCATACGATACCTCCATTTTAAAGTAATTAAAACCCTTTTTGATCCCCTACACAAATTGACGGTGACATTGTTTTCTTTTTCAACATACGTCATATAACGTTTACAAAATATGTGTCAGGGTCATGTGCATAGTGAAAATTTACACATTGGACAAGTGAAACAACAAAGTTCTTCTTTATGGCGTTTGAAACTATAGTATAGGTCTAAGAAAATTTCATTTATACTGGAAGCAAATATGACAAATTAATGATGGCCTATGGATAAACAAAAGCACAAAAATAGCAATAGAAAATGCATTGCAAAGAGTTTACTTTCATAATCTATCCTGAGAAATTGGACAAAGGCTACTGTGCTAGCTAATCTAATAGTTGAATTTTACAATAATAATGATTTTTAAATTCAAAATTATGTCACTTTCACTTATAATTTTAAGCATTTTTTTTTACAGAATTTTTGTCATTTTTTTGGTAAACTTTTCCTTTTTCTGTAGGATATTTTCTAGGCTGTACTGTACTGTTCAACTAAGAAACATAGGCTTGAGTTAAAAGGCTTTTTTACTTTGAAGAAACTAAATTTTGACTCTTGATCCCACTATATTAAAATATAAAATATATAAAATGGTCAGTACTATTTTTTTTCAGAAAGATTATTTAAATTGTATACAGTATGTTTTATTGCATTAAACATTGTTAGAAGTAGTTAAAAAAATCCATTAGGAGTGATCCCATATCCCATTATAAAAATTGCAAACTGAAAGTAAATGTCATCAGCCAGAGCTAATTTATATCAGTTCACCTAGGTTTCTAGATCTTATTTTTACCATTTTTTTGTCTTTTAATTTTTACCTGTAATCCTTCTCTGAAAAGTAGGGAAGTATCTCTTCTTAATATTATAATAACATAGTTGTTAATCGACTTTCTTTTATTTTCTTCTTGATTTTTGTAAAATAAACTCCTTTTTATTCATTTTGGTGTTTTTTTTATTTTGACTGGTGGTATCAAGGGGAGATAACCACTTGCACAAATCGGCAAAAAACCACCGCTTCGTGTTGAACATAACTTGACGTTTGCGTATCCAAAACTGTATTGCCTAGATATTCATATCGAGTGTTTGTCTTAATGAGATGCTTAATTAAATTTAAATTCAGCCCATCATTTTTAGTTTCCTCGAAAATATTTAGATTTTTCGATCAGGAGCATGGACAATTTTCACACAAACTTCAAGTTTGAAGACAAAATAAAGAATAAAGGACTTTGAGTTGATGTGTAAGTTTTGACGAGTTAAAACTATGTATATTCAAGATTATTTTGATCAATAAGTTTTTACCATAACAGTGGTATTTTAGTGAGTAAAAGTGAGGTTTGTCTCATCCGTAGTTTTACTGAATTTTCACGGTCACGTGACTCTATTGTTGCTGATAGACTTGGGGTCAAACCGTGACCTGCTTTCCAACTGATTGACAATGTGGCTGCATAGTGATGCATTTACTAAAATGAGTGCAAATAATCGATATAATAAGATAAAATCGTTAGTGGATTAAATATTTAATTATACAGACATCATGGAAAATCTACAGAATTCGATATTTCATAAGGAACAACCATGGAACTTAGGAAAACGCGCGTGAAACTCCCCGATGTAATGGGTAGCAACGTCCGGGGATATGGGTTAGCAACACCCAGGGGCTATGGGTTTTGTAACGACGTGCGTTAACCAATCAGAATCCTAGAAATATACTAAGCCGGGGATAAAAAATTTTCATCATTAATACTATAATGTTCTCATATTATAATTTGATTAAGAATAGCTCAACTGTTTGATAGTTCGGTACATATGAAGTTTTTAAAAAGACCAACACTCACATAAATTGAAATACTCTACACGGGCACAATTTAGCTCACGGTATTTTCATGATTTTAATTAAATTTGAAAATTAAGATATTTGAAAACAAATATTTTGAAAGTTCACGTGAATGTCATGTGAAAAATATTCATGTGATTTTAACATGAGATGCACGAAACCTCTTTCAAAATTATTACTCCTTTTTTTCATTATCAATCACAACATGTCTTCAGAGCCTACTGCATAACCGCCTACTATAGAGACAATTAAGATTGAAATCTTGATATTTAAAAAAAATCACAAATATCTGACCTAGTACACAAATCTTAGTTCCTCTCCTCTATCCTTTACAACACATCATCTTCCTAAAATTATAAGACAGACTGAAAGAATTTGTTCAACTTTGTTTCATAAGAAAGACTAACCAACGTAGATAGAAATATCTTGTTTTAGGAATAAGGGATAAATAATGTAATGTTTTTAATTAAACAAAACGTTAGGTAAAAAAAAGGAAATGCGTCCGAAGCGCTTTTCTGGAGTTTCCTTCGTTCATTCCACACAAATTGAAAGCCAACTTCATAAACACATGAAGTGCTAGATGATTAAAAGAATAACAAAATCCATCTAAGGTCAACTTTGCCTGTAAAACTGGCATCATGAAGATGCTTGTTTATTTCATTGACAACATATTTGTTACGGTTGATGAACGTGTTTTTGCAATAGACGATCGACATTGATGTGCTCCTCTTTTCGCCAGCTTGTTTCATTATTCGTATGAGACAGACTCTAAACAGGGCTTATCAATAATAATAAAGAGAATCTAGTATTATCGGTGTATACTCTCACCGAATAAGGCAATTATTGGCGCTTATGTTGATATACATAGCATCGATTCTGTTGAATTTCAAATAAAGGATGCTACATGCAGTCTGCTTTATATCTTGACTAAAACTTAAAAATGGACAATGAGGTTCATTTGAACTGAAAACGGGCTACCCATAAAGTTTCGAATGACTTACTTAAACCCCATGTACTTTGTGATACTCTTACCGACACAATAAATACATTCAAACTGTAACTTTGTAACTGTTTGTTTGTATTCTTTATGAAGTAGTGTCCATGAATCTGCATCGAACGCACAAAATAAGCAGCACTGGCTTATTCCCATGAAACCATAATTTACTGCTTGTCTTCGAGGATATCTAATCATTTATCTTTTTATTTTGTTTTTGGCGCCGTTTTTGATTGCCCCTTTGTATCCCCCATTTTTTAACAAGGTTTAAAATGATTCCGGCTAGATTTCTTTTTTGGGGGAGGGCCATTTTTCGGCTGTTCTGTTCCAAGTTAGGTGTATATGATTGATCCTGAAAGTAGCAAAATTAAGCAAAACGTTTTATTTATGCATGTTCAATTGAAACGATAATAATAGTATCTATTTGCAGACATGTTTTTTTTTTTATGGGCTAGGTCCCTTGTCTTTTATATTATGCTTGCCTTTTGCAGATATGAAATTTTCCGGAAAACACCTTACACTATATAAAAAAATATAAAAGTGTGTTGTAATATTTTTCACTTATACAATTTTTTTTTTAGATCAATGATCAATGAATAGGTAGGTCGTTAAATAGTTAAAGATAACACGACGCAGGCGTATTTGTATTTTCCTTTCTCAAAACTTTGGTAAGTTGCTCCAAAGTTTATACTTTTGGTTCCTCAACTTTTCAACGATAATTTGGTAAATAACATGTCAATTCACAAAATTCATAAAGCAGTTCAATTAATAAAAGTGTCGTTGAACAGGTTTACTTTTCTTGAGAATATATACGCATATACACACGGTTTTACTTTCGTTTTGAGTAAGATTAAAATTTGTGTTTTCATTTACATTAGAAAGTGTATTCATTCAATCTGAATAATATTTAATATATAAAGTCGAAATGTTCTAAAGTTGTTTTTTCTTGTTGCACTATGTTTGCATGTGCGGTATTTGTCAGTTAAGTTGGAGCATTCTTCTTTTGTATATTACCTCTTCGTGGTTTGTATTTGTTATTGTTGTTAGTAATATTATCTTATTGACCAATAAACCCTCTGTTTTTATTTTACGTCATAAATATGTTCCTTTTTATGTCAGACTCTATTTCAGTTAACATTTGAAGCAGGATAGAATGGCTTCCGATCATTCTTTGGTGGCAGTAATAGATTTCGGTACCACTTACTCTGGCTATGCCTTTTCAACAAGAAGTGATTATAAGACTGATCCGCTGAAAATCCATGCCAATCAAGCATGGAATGCCGGTGGGAGACAACTGCTATCACTAAAGACGCCAACAGTTCTTCTACTCGACAAGAACAAGGAGTTTGTTTCTTTTGGTTACGAAGCAGAAAACCAGTATTCCGACTTAATGATAGAACAAGAACATGAAGAATACTACTACTTTCATCGATTTAAAATGAAACTTCACAAAAATATAGTAAGATTAATTTAATTTCTGTTTTACTTATGTCAAAAGTCATTACATTCTATGGGTAGTCGTTACAATATTCCCTTTTCTGCCACAAATTAGCAATTACAGCAAAATAGGTGTTTAGGGAAATTCCATCAGTTTGGAATCCCTCTAAAAATGTCAAATGTTTAAAAGAGGGACGAAAGATACCAGAGGGACAGTCATCCTCATAGATCGAAAACAAACTGACAACACCATGGCCAAAAATAAAAAGACAAACAGACAAATAATAGTACAGATGACACAACATAGAAAACTAAAGACTAAGCAACACGAACCCCACCAAAAACTGGGGGGTGATCTCAGGTGCTCCGAAGGGTAAGCAGATCCTGCTCCACATGTTAATATTTTCGTATTTACTTTTTCTGTTAATGTTAGTATCAAAGACAACACTTAAAATCACTATTTAGTAATAGATTAACTAACAAGATTTTTCATATATCCATTAAATGCAGATACTGTACTTATTAATTCAAGTTTTGGAAGTAAGTCAAAATCTGAAGTTCATTTGGTATTTGTCCTGAGACCTAAATTACGGGCAAACATATATTTCGGCTTATCCAGAAACTAGCGAAGGGATACCTATCCAGCAGCGGCGGAGACAGCGTCAACAATATGTATAAAGCTTAATATTTCAGAAGGTAGAAGATTGGATGCGGCATATCATATTGCATACATATGTCTGAAGTTTTCATCTGTCATATGTCCATTATCCTTGACGTCATTTTCTTAGTTTACGATTGCTTAAACAACTGTGTACATGTCTGTTTAACAGGATTCATCTAATCTTGACCTCATTTACATGTTTTATTGGTCATGATTAGGATTTCGTGATTTTGACTGTTTCTAATATGCTATGAACAATAGGTCAGCTATATTAGGTAAATGGAATGATTGCTAGGAGTACATATTTGTCAGCCAAGATTCATCTGACCTTCACGTATACCTCGATTACATGGTACGTTTGAACAACGTTAATTTTTCATGATTTTATCCGTTTATTTGGTGTATCGAATGATAGTAAGGTAAACATGTCCAGGATTTATCTTCCTATGGAGGGGCCTCGGTAGCCGAGTGGTCTAAGTAGTCGAACTACTGTATTACTCGCCTGTCAACACTAAGGTTGTGAGTTGCAAATCCGCACATTGGAGGTTCCTTCGACTCCAATCACAATTGACTACGATAATATTTTAGTTAGTTTTCCTACCGAAGGTCGGTGGTTCTCTCCGGACACTCTGGCTTCCTCTGCCAATAAAGACTGACCGCCACGAAATAGCACAATGGTGCTGAAAGTGTCGTTAAACATCAATCAGTCAATCAATCAATCTTACCATAGATTGGTGTTTGTGTGATTAGGTTCATTATCTAGTACTTTGATTTACCTAATACCTCAACAGGCTAAGGATATGTGGTGTATGAAATAATTGTAAGATGAACATATCCGTCTGGCATGCTTCATCTGACCTTGACCTAACCTGCATGTATCATTGATAATGTGTCATTGTTTTTTAAACGACCGCAATTTTTACATCGCGACGACTGTGAGGGCATTCCGATGTATTGTTGCCACAGAGATTTCTACTTACGTAACTATCGTTTTTGACTGGTAACCGATCTATAAATACGCGGACATTATAGAGTGCAAAATAACATTCCTTATCGTTAGAAATATATAAGTAAAAAATCATTAATATCTATGCACACGTACAGAAAAATTGTGTTAACGCATGCGGAAGAATGTCACAAGAACGTTTTACGGGAAAATATGAATGCCTACTCAAATCCAATCATAAGAAAAATCGAATTATTACAGATGAGTGTCCACCATGCACTTGCACTGCACTATATTAGAATAGTAGAATAGAATGATATACAAATGGATGAAAATTATATATACATATAACTGTTATATACGAATATTAATATAATACATAACAACAAGCCAGAGTATACTGATTTGTATCACCAAGGATTTGTAAAGTAAGATCTTATTATACAAATCCTTGGTATCACTACAATATAATAGTTATTACGGTGAGGTTGAATTCCCTGTCATTTATTCATCATCCACGCACGAAATTGTCTCAGAAAAAAATATAGCTCTGTACATTAACCCCACTTTCAGGTATAGAGATGTGATTTTTTTTCTGAGACAAGTGCTTGTGACCATCCACAAGAACTTGCGGTCATCCGATGTTCAGTACTTCAGTACTTTGATTTTTTTTTTGCGTCCGTATTATGTTATGGCGATGTCTGCGTCGGCGTCCAATGACATTTTGGTTCGCAGACAATAACTTGAGTAAAACTGTATGTTTCTCTATGAAATTTTAGCACAAGGTTCCATACTACTAAAGGATGGTTGGGAATGTTTTTTGGGGGATTTGTCTTAGAGGTTTTGTAATTAGGGGCCAAAAAAGTCAGGGTTACTGGTTCATAGAAAATAAATTGGTTCGCAGACAATAACTTTAGTATAAGTGTATGGATCTGTATGGTATTTTAGTACAAGGCTCTATACCTCAAATAGAAGGTTTGGATTACTTGTGGGGGTTATTGCTGTAGCTGTTTTGTAATTAGAGGCCGGAAAGGGGCCAAAAACTATTATTTGTCTGGTTTTAAGACAATAACTTTAGTATAAGTGTATATATCTCTATTAAATTTTAGCAAAAGGATCCACACCACTATAGGAAGGTTGGGATTAATTTTGGGGGTTATTGTTATAGCTGTTTAGGAATTAGGGTCCAAAAAGGGCCTAACAAAAACAATCAATTGTCTGGTTCATAGACAATAACTTGAGTATAAGTGTATGGATATCTATCAAATTTTAACACAAGGTTCCATACCACAATAGGAAGGTTGGGATTTATTTTAGGGGTTATTGTCGTAGCTGTTTAGTAATTAGGGGCCAAAAAGGAGCCCAAAACAAGCATTTTTTTTATGTTTCAGGACAATAATTTGTGTTTAAGAGTTTAGTTTTCTATAAAATTTTACCACAAGGTTCCATACTTCAAAAAGAAAGTTGGGATTGATTTGTGGGTGGTCATGGCCTAAACCGTTTAATAATAGCACAAGGTTCCATACCACAATAGAAAGGTTGGGGTTAATTTTGGGGGATATTATAGTAGCTGTTTAGGAATTAGGGGCAAAGAAGGGGCCAACAAACACAATTATTTTTCTGGTTCACAGACAATAACTTGAGTATAAGTGCATGGATCTCTATTAAATTTTAGCACAAGGTTCCATATAACAATAGGAAGGTTGGGATTATTTTGGGGGTTATTGACGTAGCTGTTTAGTAATAAGGGGCCAAAAAGGGGTCAAAACAAGCATTTTTCATGTTTCATGACAATAACTTTTGTAAAAGAGTATAGATCTCTATGAAATTTTACCACAAGATTCCATACTTCTAAAGGAAGCTGGGTTTGATTTTGGGGGTCATGGTTCAAACCGTTTAATACTTAGGGGCCGAAAAGTGGCCAAAAACTAGGATTTTCTGGTTTCTGGACAATAACTTGAGTAAAAAGAGAAATAAGGAGATGTGGTATGAGTGCCAATGAGACAACTCTACATCCAAGTCACAATGTGTAAAAAGTAAACAATTATAGGTCAAAGTACAGCCTTCAACACGGCTCACACCGAACAGCAAGCTATAAAGGGCCCAAAAATGACTAGTATAAAACAATTCAAACAGGAAAACCAACGGTCTAATCTATATAAAAACGAAAAACGAGAAACACTCAATAACCACATTAACAAACGACAACCACTGAAACAGGTTCCTGACTTAGGACTAGTGCAAACAAATGCACGTTTTAACGTTTAAACAGGCGCCAACCTTCACCCTAACCTTAAATAGTAGTGTAACACTACAACACAGAAAGACATAAGTCTATTTATTGCTATTTAATTGTGCCACAAGGTGTTGTACCATAAAATAAAGTTTGGGATTGATTTTAGGGGTTATGACCGTAACAGTTTAGTTAAAAGGGGCCAAAAATAATTCTTTTGTAATACTTTGAATAAATTGCTTATTTCCTTAGCAATTTCAATGGGGTTTAATTCAAAGTCTTCAATTCTTGGGGTTCTTTGATATGCTATATCTAAGCGTGTAGTTAGATTTTTGATTTTGGGCACAGTATTCAAGTTGGTCCAAATTGTGGTCAAAAATTGAACTTGATTTCATAAAAATATGAATTATTGGTGTTATTTGATATGCCAAATCCAACAGTGTTTTAGATTTGTATACGACTGCAATTTTTTTTGAGTTCGTATTACGCTATGGCGATGTCTGCGTCGGCGTCCGAAGACAAAACGGTTCGTAGACAATAACTAGAGTATAAGTGTATGGATTTCTATGAAATTTTAGCACAAGGTTCCATACCATAATAGGAAGGTTGGGATTGTTTTTTTATGAGGGGGGTGGGGGGGTTGGGGGGGGGGGGGGGAGGGTGGTTATATCTTAGCCGTTTTGTAATTCGGGTCCAAAAAGGGTTACAAAACAAGCATTTTACTGGTTCATAGAAAATAAATTGGTTTGCAGACAATACTTTGAGTATAAGTATATGGATCTGTATGAAATTTTAGAACAAGGTTCTATCCGACAATAGGAGGGTTGGGATTGATTTTTTTGTTGTTGTTGTTGTAGCTGTTTAGTTATAAGGGGCCAAAAAAGGGCCAACAAAAACAATTATTTTTCTGGTTCACAGACAATTACTTGAGTATAAGAGTATGGATCTCCATGAAATTTTACCACAGTGTTCCATATTTCAAAAGGAAGGTTGGGATCAATTTTGGGGGTCATGTCCCAAACCGTTTAGGAATTAGGGGCCAAAAAGGGGCAAAAAAACTAGGATTTTCTAGGTTCCGGACAATAACTTGAGTTAAAGTCTATAGATTGCTAATGTGCCGGAAGGTGTTACACCATAAAAGGAAGGTTGGGATAGATTTTGGGGGTTATAACCCTAACGGTTTAGGAAAAAGGGGCCAACACAATACTTTTGTAATACTTTGTATAAATTGCTTATTTCTTGACCAATTTCAATGGGGTTTAATTCAAAGTCTTCAATTCTTGGGGTTCTATAATATGCTGAATCTAACCGTATATTTAGATTTTAATTTTGGGCATTGTTTTTGAATTGATCCATATTAAGATCCAAAGGGTCCAAAATTAAACTTTCTTTGATTTCATCAAAAGTTGAATTATTGGTGTTCTTTGATATGCTGAATCTAACCGTATATTTAGATTTCTAATTTTGGGACCTGTCTTCAAATTGGTTCACATTAAGGTCCAAAGGGTCCAAAATTAATCTTCGTTTGATTTCATTAAAAATGGAATTATTTGTGTTCTTTGATATGCCCAATCCAGCAGTGTTTTAGATTTTTGAAATTCGGGCCGGTTTTCAAAGTTGGTCCAAATTGGGGTCCAAAGTTAAACTTTGTTTGATTTTATCAAAAATTGAATTATTGGTGTTCTTTGATGTGCCCAATCTAACAGTGTTTTAGATTTTTTTATTTTGGGTCCGTTTTTTAAACTGGTCCACATTAAGGTCCAAAGTATCCAAAATCAAACTTGAATTCTTGTTGTTCTTTGATATGCTGTATCTAAACATATAATTCATTTTTTGATTTTGGGCACAGCTTTCAAGATTGTTCAAATTGGGGTCCAAAATTAAACTTTGTTTAATTTTAACAATAAATGAACATATGGGGTTCTTTGAAATACTGAATTTAAGGATGTATTTAGATTTTGGATTTTGGGTCCTGTTATCAAATTGGTCCACATGCAGGTCCAAAGGGTCCAAATTAAAGTTTGTTGGATTTCTTCAAATATTTAATTCTTGGGGTTCTTTGATATGCTGATTCCAACCATGTATTTAGATTTTGGATATTGGACCATAATAGGTAAAATCCAATTTCAAATTTTTCCGTTCTTTGACCACATTCGTTCTGTGACAGAAACCTCTGATGTGTCAAACGTTTAATCACAATCCAAATGCAGAGCTGTATCAAGCTTGAATGTAGTGTCCATACTTGCCCAAAAAAACAAAAAACAAATTGACATTATTAATCTAATTTTGTTGTAATGCAATGATGATTTCTAGACTCTGCGCATATAGTCTTGACAAGTGTAAGTACTTACTTGTGCATAAAAAAGTGAGAAAAGTCTTCATTAGTCCAAGACTTGTCGACTAATTTTATTGAGAACATTGATACTATGAGTGATTGCACATCGAATCAGCCAATCTAGAATCATAAGTTTACTATATGAAATAAGAACACTTTAATTCTTTACTGATATCTAACAGTTTTTTTAATACACAATAGAAATAGCATATTCTCAAAACCTTACGTAGAAATGGCCTTTTTATTATGAAAATATGTAATCGTATATATTTGTAGCATTTGTCAGCAGCCACGGTGATTGAGGATATAACTGGAAAGTCGGCATTAGCAATGGATGTGTTTGCTATATCCATACAAGCCCTGAAGGACCATTTGATTGAAGAATTAGATAAAAAGGGAACTACAATGACGGTTAAAGATATAAGATGGGTGCTTACTGTACCAGCCATATGGACTGATGCAGCAAAACAATTTATGAGAAAAAGTGCTGAAAAGGTATCGATATATGTGTGTGTGTGTGTGTGTGTGTATGAGAGAGAGAGAGAGAGAGAAAGAGAGAGAGTGTTTTCTTTCAATTATTCTTTTCATTTTGTGCGACATTATATCATGTATAGAATAGAGAATGGTGACGGGGAATGTGCCAAAGAGACAAAAACTCGACCAAAGAACAGAAAACAGCACAAGGCCACCAATGGGTCTTCAACGCAGCGAAAAAATCTCGCAACCTGAGGCGAGTATCAGCTGGCCCCTAAACAATAATATATACTAGTTCAGCGGAATGGGTGCCACTCTAAACTCCGAAACATAAAAGTGAACCAAAATTAAAAAAAAACAAACACATAAGACCTAAGAAAGCTTGAGGTTCCTGACATGGGACAGGCGCAAAAATGCAGTGGGGTTAAACATGTTATACATCTAAGCTTTTTCTATAGTATTTTAATTGCTGAAATTATATTATCCTTTAAGGCTGGAATACCGGACGAAAATTTACTGCTAGCATTGGAACCTGAAGCTGCTTCTATATATTGTCAATATCTTCCAACTGACAAACTAAATGGTGCAGACGAAGGATTCTCAATGGCTGAAGTTGGGCCACAGTATATGATAATTGACGTAGGAGGTAAAAACTGACACGTAGATCACAATCACTATGCAAATAACACTGCGTACTAAACATTTCTAAATGTTCTACAAGAAGAAAAGAAAGAAAAAATGATTAAGCCCACAAGCAAAACAATACAGGCTAAAATATACAACATATCATAAAGAGTCACATAGATTATACCTTTTTAAATTATAGTGGTAAGCATGCAAACTGCAGTCGAGATGACTATGAATAAATTGGATGAGGAGTATACGTCACACATTCAATAAATTGGAACCTATAGATACAAATAACTAAAAAGAGACACCTAGTGGTAAATATACGGTTTACAATTTTCATGTGCCTATACAGTAAGCCAAACTTTAGAGTTCCTCCAGTTATGAAAAGTTGTGAATAAATTCAACGAAGACTATCACAGACCTGCAATCTAATTTTGTTCTTTCTAAATGACAAACATAAAGACAACCACTGAAGAAGACCGTCTGAAGAAGTTCCTATCGTGGAGCAGACACTGGGGCAGTCTATTGAATATTGTAATACAATGTCTTTGAACCAAAAACTTTACATTTCAACCAATTTTAAAGAGAAAATATATATAAGTCATTTGATTCCTTTTTGAAGGGTGTAGAATGACACATAGTTGCTTACATCTATGCCATTTGGTATCTGTTGTGTAGTTGTCTCATTGGTAATCATACTACATCTTTGTTTTTGTATTCCTGATTAGACGATCAAACTTGAAAGTTTGATACGACTTACTGTATAGGATTGATTGGTTGATGTTTGTTAAATTTCCAGTGTCAAATAGTTCATGCATATTCAGGACGAGAACCAGTTGAGATCAAATCCAATGGGTAGGTTCTGCAAAGTGTGTGTGGAGGGGGGGAGACAATGTAGAATGACTACTGGATAAATAGGATAATTGGATGACTACAGTAATTATTTACCTGCAACAGGTCACTTACTTAACCTAAGAGTTGTTAGACGGGTCCTCTAATATGCAGAAAATGTGACACTCTCCCTACAGAAACACAGTTTCTAACATTCAATTTTGACCGCACTTTCCATGGTACATATATACATTCACACAGCAGGAGGCCATTCTTGAACATAGGTGTTACTGACGAATGGGAAGTATCCATATTTATATACCCGAGTCAACAATTGGGGTGTACTTTCTATAGAGGAAAGTGATATCTCATTATATTAGGCAAACTATAACGAAGGAAGTACACATTATAAAATGAATCTTAAATTTCAAAAATCTAATCTTACAGGGGGTACCGTAGATGTAACTGCTCACGAAAAACAACAAGATGGAAAACTAAAAGAATTATGCAAAGCAATCGGTGATGCATGCGGGGGAACTTCCATTGATAATGAGTTTTTTCAGTTGATGGTGAAAATTTTTGGAGCACCTTTAATGAATAGTTTGTCAGAGAACGATCCATCAGCATATCTTTTCAGAGAATTCGAAACTGTAAAAAGAACCATAAACCCCAAAAAATCAGGAAAAATTTCTTTGTCGCTTTATATACTTTGTGCAAGAAGAATTTTGGGGAAGATTTACCTAGCACTGTGTCGTCTTGTTCCCTGAGCGATGAAATTTCTCTACGTGGCGATAAAATGAGGGTTGAATCATTTACTCTGAAAGCCTTATATTCAAAATCAACGGTAGATATTGTTAGTCATGTATCCAAAGTAATCCAGCAATGTGAAAGTGTATCTATACTGGTACTGGTAGGAGGGTATACAGAATCAGAAATGATTCAGCATGCCATACGAAAGGAATTTCCAGATAAGCGAATCCTTATCCCTGAAGATGCAGGATTGTCCGTATTGAAAGGGGCCGTTCTCTTTGGCCAAAATCCAGATGTCATATCATCACGCGTGATGCGATATACCTATGGCTTACAGGTTAAAGAAAAGTTTAACCACGATTTTCACGATAAAGAAAAATTTCAAATAGTAAATGGTCAAGAAATGTGTAAACATATTTTTTGGATTGTCAAAAAGTTAAACGAGGCCACTCCACCGGGAACGAAAGTAGTAAAACCAATCGTCACTCTAGAACGATTTCAAAAAACACTAAAAATACCTGTTTATGCGTCTGATAAAAAGGAACCAATGTATACTGATGAACCAGGGTGCATGAAGATTGGAACCGTCATAATTAAAATATCTCATCCATCCGAGGCTATCCGTAATTTTGATTTTGAAATAGCTTTTGGTGACACTGAATTAACAGTTACTGCAACCGAAAGGGGGACATTCTTCACAAAAACTGCAAAATTTGACTTACTGTGAATTGATTCAGTTAGTATAAACTGATTTTACTATGTTTAGATGAACTTTGTGAGACAATGAACAGTCAGATCAGATCTTTTATACTTTAAAGGCATATTTCTGTCATGTTTATAAGGGAATGCGACTGAGATAATCTTTCAATGCTTTTAACAATTTCCTTAATTTCTATCAAAGAACTTACCATTAATTTTTTGAAATAAAGCATATGAAAATAAAGGAATAAACCATTTTTTTAAATGAAAAAAATCTTCGGATTTTTAAGATAAGTTATGTGCTTCTGAGGGTCCTTTCAATTTGGTTGACAGTTTTGACTTTTCGACTCTCTACACTACATTTCTACACAACCTTCTCAAACAAAATTTTCCGATTTAACTAAATGGTCTTTTGAAAAATTTGATCGCAACTTATATAAAGCCTTCTTCTGTAATAAAAAGGGTAAATATGCTAGATCTACTTACGCATGTACGTTTGTTGATCGACAGGTTGTATGTATTCGTATGGGCACCAATTGCGCCCCGTTAATAGCAGACTTGTTTCTGTATTGTTATGAATCACAGTTTCTGGCCAAATTAATTAAAGACCCGTCTAAATTCCATTTGATGGATAAATTCATCAATACTTACCAATATCTCGATGACATTTTGTTCGTTTAATAATAAAAAATTCTCTAAATATGCTGCCAAACTATACTCAAAGGAACTTACTTTAAATAAATCAAATATAAACAGCAATAACTGTCCTTCCCTAAATTTAGATATTTCAGTTTGACTTTTCGTTCCCTATTGTTAATTTTCCTTTTTTGTTGACGGTGCTGTTCTTTTTACCCTATCTTACGGTGTTTATATAAGCTAACTGTTCGCTATGCCCGTGTGTTTAGTGACGTTCTGGATTAATTCAAAGATTTCGTTACCACAAATTATTCAAAACCTTTACTAAATTCTTTTATAGATACAAATATTTGGATTGGAACTTTGGTTACTTATTACAAACGGGAAAGCGCATGGTAATTTGTACGGTGATGTTGTTCATCGGGCTCATACATTTGGATACTTATATTAAAAGGTTACCAATTTAACACTGAAATTAGATCTTTGAATGTTGTTTAAATCGGTATATATATTGAATTTGTTATCAATAAATTTAAACCCAACTATATATATTATTGCTACACTTCTGTGATGATTCACGGTCCTACATTCTGTCGATACCTATATTTTGGCATTGCACAAGTTTATGTTTTTTATTTGACTGTTAATGACGTATTAACACTACATCCATTGGATGGTGGATGTATACTGATTGATATTTTAGTCTTTAGTTAAATACATAATTTGTTTTATTAGTTGTTATTGACTTTAAACTAGCTTTCAGTAATTACTAATACTCTTTCTTCTTTTTCCAATATTGACTTTAAACTAGCTTTCAGTAATTACTAATACTCTTTCTTCTTTTTCCAATATTTGACTCACTTAAAAAAAAACGGTTGTGTATCTCCTTAGATCGGCGATCCTCTAAATGACGCCTTGCTCCTTTATGCACTACTAAATTGATTTCTTGCAATTCAGTGGTTGTCGTTAGTTGCTGTTTATTATGTTTATTATATTTGTTTTTCGTTTATTTCTTGTACGTAAGTCGTAGAATTGTTTAACATTTATTCATGTCGGGGCCATTTATTTTATTTTACTATACGGTTTGGTATTGCTCATTGATGCAACCTTACGATGCTCTATAGGTGGTTCTATCTACGTTATTTGGTCTCTTGGTGATATATGTCTCATTGGCAATCATACAACATCTTATTTTATATTAAACAAATACAGACAAAGAGATGTTCAGTAAAACTTCCCAATGTTTATCAAACACATTGCCCTATTAGACACACCTGAATTCTCAGGCAATTTTTAATACTTTCCCGCGTAGACTGCATCATGGCCAAAGAAGAACAACGAAAAATGTAAACAAAATTTCACAAAACACTACATAGAAATTTAAAGATTGAGCAGCAAGAACCCCACGAAAGGCTGTGGATTAACTCGGTTGCTCCGAAAGGATATGCAGTTGTTATTTTACTTTTTGTTAATCCACTATTGACATTTGCCGTGATGTTCAGGTTCAAATACGTAACATTAACAAATTGGCGAATGTCTCTTGTCTTATCTATCGTCTCGTGACTAAGAATTAGTAAGTAAAATAGTCCAAGTCCCTTCAGAAAATGCAATTTCGACCTTTTATTAACACAGGAAAAAACAGTTCTTTTGTCTCTCCTTTGTGTAATGATTGTAGTACATTGACAAATGTTTTACATTTAAGTGAAGCTGGTCAAGTTTTTAATTGTTAAGGTAATAACTATTTCGTATGCCATCTTTAAATTTAGTAAGAAACGAGAAAACACATATATCCACCGTATGTGAATTAGATTATCATGTCTCATCTCAAAATTCACTTTGGTATTTTTGATTTCGCCAGACCGAGGGATGCAAATTCGGCCGCCTTTGAACTATTTGTATAAACTATTTCAGAAGATAATAAGCCTGAATGCTTCATACCCTGCATAAATATCCCTGTTGTTACGAAGTTTCCGCCTGTCATGTCCATTGTCATTGACCTCATTTTCAAGGTTCAGCGACTGCCTAAAAATTGCATCGTTCTTTTTGTGAATTTCACACATATTTTGAATGATAAGATAACTATAGTTGATATATGGAGTCCTTGAAAGTTCTACAAGTCAGACAGGTTCATTTTTCCATGACCTCACTTTATGGGTCAGTGATCAAGATTGACTTTTCGTGGTCGAGTTCAAATCTCTGATACGGTAGGTAATATCCGAACTTTGATGTATGTTGCACATGTCCTTCTGGCAGGGTTCATTTGACCTTGACCTCATTGTCATGGTTCATTGGTCATTGTGACGTTGGTGTTGTTTAAGGCTATCACAGTACATTAGTTTTCATAAATTAATGAGCACATGAAATGATTCATCTGCTCCCTCAACTGTCTGGTTGGAAAAGTTTAGTTGACCATATTTCTATACTCTAGCCACTGACGGATGGGAAAAGTCTAGTAGACCATATTTCTATACTCAAGCCACTGACAGATTGGAAAAACTTATTTGACCATATTTCTATACTCCGATGGGAAAAGCCTAGTTGACCATATTTCTATACTCCGATTGCAAAAAGTCTAGGTGACCATATTTCTATACTCCGATGGGAAAAGTCTAGTTGACCATGTGTCTATACTCTAGCCACTGACGGATGGGAAAAGCCTAGATGACCATATTTCTATACTCCGATTGGAAGAGTCTAGTTGACCATATTTCTATACTCCAGCCACTGACGGATGGGAAAAGTCTAGTTGACCATATTTCTATACACTAGCCACTGACGGATGGGAAAAGCTTAGTTGACCATATTTCTATACTCCGATTGGAAAAGTCTAGTTGATCATATTTCTATATTCCGATTGGAAAAGTCTAGTTGACCATATTTCTATACTGCAGCCACTGACGGATGGGAAAGTCTAGTTGACCTTCTTTTTAAACTGCAGCCACTGACAGATAGGAAAAGCTTAGTTGGCCATATTTCTATACTCCGATGGGAAAAGCCTAGTTGACCATATTTCTATACTCCAGTCAACACTTTATGTAGAGAAAAGTGACATTCGTGATATTAGGTAATATGTAAGAAAGGAAGTGTTATTAACCATTATACAATGTTTATAAAATTGCTAATCTATAAACAGGGGGTTCCGTAGATATAACTACTCACGAAAAGCAAGAAGGTGATAAATTGAAAGAATTATGCAAAATAACGAGGGATACATGTGGTGGAACGTCCATCGATAATGAGCTTTTTCAGTTGATGTTTAAAAATTTAGGCGCACTTTTATTTAATAGTCCCTCGGAGAATGATCCATCAGCATATCTTGATCTTTTCAGATAATTCGAAACTGTAAAAATGACAACAAACCCAACGAAATCAGGGAAGATGAATTTTACCATTCCCTTTGTTGCCTTAGATACATTGTGTAAGATGAATTTTTGGGAAGATCTTCCTAGCACTGTTTTTTATTCCCTTATCATGGTAATGCGTGATGCGGTATACATATGGCTTAGGGACTAAAGCAATTTTTGATCGCAATATTTACGATAAAGAAAAATTAGTAATAGTAGAAAGATTTAATGACAATTTTTGGATTGTAACAAAATTGAACGAGACCACCTCATTGGGAACAAAAGTAAAAGATATGATTCACACCACAGAGAAACTTTAAAGAACAGTAGATCAACCTATTTTGTGTCTAACAAAGAAGACCCAAAAAATTCTGATGAACCAGGGTGCACGCATATTGGAACTTTCACAGTTGAAATAACTAATCCCTCCGAGGATGTGAGTTGTTTTGATGTTGAATTTCATTTTGGTAACACTGAATTAACAGTTACCACAAACAAATAAAGTTTGACTCAGTGTGAATGAGTATATGAGTATGAAAGTGTACACTTTAACAAAAGACACAGCATATTTATATGTATCATCTTTACTGGTGTCAAAAATATCAATGTTGAGATAATTCGTCTGTTTGCAGTCTTGTTGTAATCGTAACAATATCAAAACCAAAATCGTAACATTCTAATCTCCCGATTGTTTTTAAGGGCGCACATATTTTCCTGCCCGTCAGTCAATCTTTCACATTTCGTGTGATAACTTATGTTTCCTTTGGAGTAGGACCTTTTTACTTTGCATATTAACTACTTTGAAGTGCAGATAATACTTGGTTTTTATTGTTGTAGTAATAACTGTTTTCGAATTATACTTCTTAATCTATCCAAAAAGTGGTTACTTAATTAGTAAATTTCTCTGTACAACATTACTACCTACTTTGAAATACATGTATACATAAAACAGGTCAAATATGGCTATTTGTGTTGCCACAATGGTCCTTTTTTATACATTAAGTTTTACCCTTGTCCGTCTGTACGTACGTACGTACGTACGTCCCAAAATTGGTTTCCGTTCTCTAACTTGAGTTTGCCTCAACCAAATGTTATGAAACTTATACACAATGCTTATTACCACAAAACACAGATCAATAGATATAGGAAGATGTGGTATGAGTGCCAATGAAACAACTCTCCATCCAAGTAACAATTTATAAAAGTAAACCATTATAGGTCAAGGTCCGGCCTTCAACACGGAGCCTTGGCTCACACCGAACAGCAAGCTATAAAGGGCCCCAAAAATTACTAGTGTAAAACCATTCAAACGGGAAAACCAACGGTCTAATCTATATAAAAACGAGAAACGAGAAACACGTATGAACTACATAAACAGACGACAACTACTGTACATCAGATTCCTGACTTAGGACAGGTGCAAACATTTGCAGCGGGATTAAACGTTTTAATGGTACCAAACCTTCTCCCTTTTCTGAAACAATAGTATAACATCACAACATAGAAA